CATGTAATGTGATCTGATTTTAGCCCTTTGGGGGGTAGTTCTTAACTCCAGCTGTGGCATGTGGGTATGAAGAGGGAGCTTCACTTTACTTCATTGTGATAATGGGGTTATTTATGATGCATTAGGAAGCCACATTAAGTATAATATCTGTACTGAATGATGTTCCCCTATCAAAAATTACTAGCGTTTGTTGCTCTGATGGCCCAGTAGTTGAAAAGAAGAATCATTTCCTGTTTGAAGGTATTGAGAACAGTTCTGTTGATTATCTTTTGATCAAGGAGACTCATTTGAAATAGCCAGGGGGGAAAAGGATGAAATAACAGAAACTAATAGTACAGGTCTAGTGAGATCACATAATGCAGAGGCTGTTTCCTCTGCCTAGAAATTTGATGCCTGGTAATTCTTGCTCATCTTTTACTTCTCTGTTTAAGTGTTGCTTTTGTAAGAAAGACCCTCCTTCTAAGTGACATAACCCATTATAGGGTGATTGCAAATCACAGTGTTTATTTGTCCTTCTTGATACCTATCTGATTTTTTAATTGTATGCATATGTTAAAAATAATATACTCTGATTTTTTAATGTCTGTTCCTCTTGAGGCAATGAGGTCCTTAAAGGCCTGGCCCTTTGTCTGTTTTGTTCACCATTATGAATAAAGAACTTGTTGGGATAGTAAGCACTAAGTAAACAATGTGTCCAGTGAATGAATGAATTAATAAGAAAGCACTTTGTATACTTGAAACCAATTCAATGTTTTATGTCAATTATAACCTCTATTTTAAAAGAAGACACTTTGTAAACTGAATTCACTATAAAAGTCATGGTTAATTATTTTCACAGAAGACACCTTTCTCTCTTTAATCCTCACTTTTTTTCTCTCCAATTTTTTACTTCGTTAAGGTCTGCTTGTCATTGTTTTGCCAGTTCCAAACCTAAGACTTGGTATTTTTCATTCTTGCCTTTTTTTTTAAGACAAGAGATCACATTTTTCCCTCGAAAATATTCTTTACTGATCATGCTAATGATGGGATTCCAATTTTTATTCACTGAGCACTTATGACTTTGAAAGAAAAATATAGCTGGTACTTGTGAATGATTTATCTGGGAAGCAAACAAGACTCTAGAGTAGTATTTAACTTCTATTTCTTGTCATCCCCAAAGCCACTCTTGTAAGTCGCACTCTGCAAAAGTACACACGTCGAAATACCTTGAATAATATTGGCCCAGGAGAAGTTGTTCCTGGCCCTGTCTTACAGAAGGGGGGTGGGGGAGCAAGAACTCCAGATTCAAGAAATAATCAGATACTGAGAGTAAACTCAATCAGGTCTTTTCTTTAAAAGCAGCAAACAAACAAAAATCACCCAGCCCTTTCCCAGAAGGGCCTCCACGTGCCACTTTTTTTTCTTTTTTAGATCCTCTTTTCTAATTTATTTTTTTATTTAAGGAAAATTGCTTTACAGAATTTTGTTGTTTTCTGTCAAACCTCAACATGAATCAGCCATAGGTATACATATGTCCCCTCCCTTTTGAACCTCCCTCCCATCTCCTGCCCCATCCCACCCCTCTAGATTGATACAGCGCCCCTGTTTGAGTTTCCTGAACCATATTGCAAATTCCCGTTGGCTGTCTATTTTACATATGGTAATTTAAGTTTCCATGTTCCTCTTGCCATATATCTGACCCTCTCCTCCCCTCTCCCATGTCCATAAAGTCTCTTCTGTCTTTTTCTCCATTGCTGCCCTGAAAATAAATTCTTTAGTACCATTTTTCTAGATTCCATATATATGTGTTAGAATATGATATTTATCTTTCTTTCTGACTCACTTCACTTTGTATAGGTTCTACGTTCATCCACCTCATCAGAACTGACTCAAATGAGTTCCTTTTTATGGCAGAGTAATATTCCATTGTATATATGTATCACAGCTTCTTTATCCATTCATCTGTTGATGGACATCTAGGTTGCTTCCATGTTCTAGCTATTGTAAATTGTGCTGCAGTGAACAATGGGATATATCTGTCTTTTTCGATTTTGGTTTCCTGAGGGTATATGCATAGGAGTGGGATTGCTGGGTCATATGGTGGTCTCATTCCTAGTTTTTAAGGGAATCTCCATACCATCTTCCATGTGTCTATATCAATTTACATTCCCACCAACAGTGCAAGAACATTCCCTTTTCTCCACACCTTCTTCAGCATTTATTGTTTGTAGGCTTTCTGATGATGTCCATTCTGACTGGGGTGAGGTGATATCTCATTGTAGTTTTGATTTGCATTTCTCTAATAATGAGCGATGTTGAGCATCTTTTCATGTGTTTGTGAGCCATCTGTATGTCCTCTTTGGAAAAATGTCTGTTTAGGTCTTTCTCCCACTTTTTGATTGGGTTATTTGTTTTTCTGGCATTGAGTTGTATGAGCTACTTGTATATTTTGGAAATTAATCCTTTGTCAGTTGTTTCATTCGCTATTATTTTCTCCCATTCTGAGGGTTGTCTTTTCACCTTG